AGGAGCAGTGTGGGAGGTCTGCTTTCTCACAGCTTCTCTTTCTTCCCTCAGGTTTGTCTTCTATGGGTACTGACTGGTCCCCAGAGAAGAAGAGGAAGCCCATGATACTGGTGAGTTGGAAAACTTGTTTTTCTGAAGTTCTGGCTCATTTCCCTGGCAATAGGTATATCATCTCTGAAAGGGAGAAGACGGCTAACCTTTTAGGTGTTTTGTGCCTTCCTATCAGGTACCATGTTAGGGATCTTAGACTGGTTTCTGCACTTTTGCATTTTATTTTTCTACTTCGAAAATGTACCCAAGATTAATATTAAGACTCCAGGAAATCTGAGAGTTTCTGTCAGTGATAGGATAATTTCCAGATGCCTACAAGGAACACCCCACCACTTGTCTGTCAGGAATATTTTTGAAAAACTGAGATTATTAAAATTTTTACGTGTACTATTAAATTTCACTCCACATCCACATACTATCTTGTATACTAGGTATCTTTTTACTTTTTAATTATTGAACCTTTTAAACATGTAGAAATAGAGAGCGTAGTAAAAATAGATTCTCAGGTGCCATCATGGAGCTTCCGCAAACATCTCTAATAGGCCATCTTATCACAGGAATATGGTATTGTATCGAAAAATCTCATAATATCAAATGTAAAATGTCCATTTTTACTTATTTTTTCAGTTCTGAAACCCATTGCCCACACCATACTTCTTTCTCTGACCATGTCCACCTAGCACCACGTGACATCGCACAAGATAAAAAGATACCGTTCTTCAGACTGCTAGACAGATTCTACTCCCACCCTCATATCTGACCTGCTGCCTGCAAATTCCTCTTCCCTTTAGGACACCAGCTGCAAGCCTGGAACACCCCCTGGGCTCCCTTACTTCTGACTTAACTTGCTCCCACTACTTCTCTGGTTTTGAAAATTCATTGGAATAACTTACAGAACTCACAGAAAGGGCTATATTTATGATTACAGCTTTATTATAGTAAAAAGTATATAAATAGATTCATGAGGCAAGTTCCGGGTGAGTTCCCATTATGCAGCTTCCATGTCCCAAAAAGGGAGGCACTGCTATCCCACACACATCGTGTCTTTCACCAACCAGGAAGCCCGTGGACCTTCCCTGTCCAGGGCTTTGTGGACCTCGTTACATAGCCAGGATTGATTGGACCAGGTGCTCCCTCCCCTGAGGTCAGTGGGAATTTGAATGAAGTGATGTGCTGTGTTCTGGTTCCCTAGTGCCGCTCTGACAGGGATGTACCACAAATGGGATGGCCTTAACAAACAGGAGTTTATTCTCTTACAGTTTGGAGGCTTTAAGTCCAAGTTCAAAGTGCCTGGCTCTAGGGGCTGGGTGAAAGCCCCTCAGCCTTGGGCTTCAGCTCTGCCTCCAGCTCCTGACCCACTGAAGCTAAAGGCTTTTTCTTCACTCAGACAGCTGCTGGCTTCTGAGGTTGAGAAGCCCAAGGTTGACAAATAAAATGGCACAGTCCTGATGTTACCAAACTACACAGCAGACCATTAATTTAATTCCATTGTAAGTCCCAAGGTCGGCAGAGCATGGCAGGCTACTGTGCAATGACACGGCTACATGCAGGGTCCAAGCGTGCCATGGGGATGCTAGCTACTATACCCAAGGCTTCTCCTTATATACAGGAAGCAGACCATATCCCAAAGGCAGCTACTTAGCTGCTTCTGGTAGATCCCACCATGGAGTTGACCGCCAGTTTCATCATGGGGACTAACTACCACCAGCTACTCAGCCACTCAACCAGGCCCAGCCAAGTTGATAGACAAACTGAACTACCACATGCTGTGTTGGTGATCTCAGTGTGCCTCTGTGCTTATGTCATCATCTGTGGGCTGAAGAGGAAGCAGAAAAGTTTGTATTCTACACAGGGACTCATGGTTAATGTGCCACGGCAACTGAGATGTGTTTAAATAAGTTCCTGTATTTAAAGTAGGTGAATTATAAAGCAAATGGATTTTAAATTTCACTGCAATAAGTGTTTGTAGGAGCCCTGGTGTCACCGTGATTATGCACTCAGCTGCTGACAGAAAGATTGGTGGTTCAAACTCACCAGGCACTCCACAGGAGAGAAATGTGGCAATCTGCTTCTACAAAGGTTACAGTTTTGGAAACGCTGTGGGACAGTTCTCTTCTGTCACATGGGATCATTATGAGTTGGAATCCACTCAGTGACACAGGTTAAACTGTTTGTTTTTGTTTTTAAAGATTAAGTTATGTATAAATAGCATTATCTGGAATGGTATTGCCATTCTCTTGCCAATGGTTTTGTATAGAGGAGGTACAATTCTATATCATTAGTGAAGTGGTAAGGACTTCATTAGAAGAGCTTATTAAAAACAAAGATCCTGTTTATTACCTGAGGTCTTCACAAATGCTCATTCCAGACCCCGTCTGCTCACTCCCACTTTTCTATGTAGTTGTAGTTTCCTTCCATCTTCTCCTATACATCTTCATGGTCACTTAATGCCTAGCACAAGCCCCACCTGCATGATGCCTTTTGTTCTTTCCTGGCCCATCTGTGCTCGTCCATCTTTGATTTCTTCCTTCATGAATTCTCAAATCACTTTCTAGAATACTGCTTAATGCTTTCATATAGATTCACAAACCCTTCCTCCAGTGAAGTCATTCGGGTTTGAGGGCAGGGTGTGTTTTGTGCATCCCTCGTGCTCCCCACAGATTCTGTCACAAAGCCAGGTGTACAGTCGTGTCCAGAAGAAGTTGATATGAGAACTGTGTTCTGTGAAGAGAAGGAGCTGAGCTTGTTCAGATGCAGACGCTGTAGGGCACCAGTTCAGCTCCTCCCCTTGGGAAGATTGATGGTGATTTGCTGTGCGCTGATTTCCTGCCTCTTCCAGGAACCAGTTACGTTCGAAGACGTCACTGTGGTCTTCACGGAGGCGGAATGGAAGAGCCTGAGCTGTGAGCAGAAGAACCTGTACAAGGAGGTGATGCTGGAGACGTACAGGCATCTGCTGTCATTGGGTGAGGATGTGCTCTTTCCCTCATTAATTCAGTAGATAATTACTGATCACCTACTGTGCGCCAAAGGGGCCCTGGTGGCAGAGTGGATAAGCACTTGGCTGCTTCCCAAAAGACTGGCTGTTGTAATTCACTGGGCACTCCTTGGGAGAAGGATGCGGCAGTCGGCTTCTGTGAAGATTTATAGCTTAGGAAACACTATGGGGCAGTTATTCTTTGTCCCATAGGGTCGCTATAATTCAGAATCAGCTTAATGGCAGTGGGATTTTGGTGTGTGGCAGATAATGTTCCAGACACTCAGAACTCATTAGTCAATGGAATAGAAATCCATGTAAGAAGACAGACAACAAACTGTAAACTATAAACAGAGCTATTAAACCCTGATATGTTAAAAGTGACGAGTGCTATGAAGTGAAAAGCTAGTAATAAAATAGAATGGGAGAAAGGTTTTGAGTGTGACAGGGTGACTGGCTGAATTTTGAAATCGAGTGTTAGAAATCTGTGAGAAGGTCATATTTGACCAAAGACATGAGGTGCTGAGAGAGGTAGGCCTCTGGGTACGTGGAGTGAGAGCATTGCAGATGCCCAAGTTCAGGGGGCTTCACCCAGCCCCTAGAGCTGGCACTTTGAGTTTGGACTTCTAGCCTCCTAAACTGTAAGAGAATAAATCCCTGTTGGTTTAAACCTACCCACTTGTGGTGTTTTTCTGCTGGAGTGGCTCTAGAGGACCAAAAGAGCCACCAAACAGAGTGTCATTGGCCATCAGAGAGATGCAAATCCAGAGCACAATGAGGCATCTTTACGCTCCTACTAGAGGCTAAGAGGGGCTCTGGGGCGCATTGCCTAAGGCATTTGACTGCTAACCAGAAGGTTGGTTGTTCAAACCCACCAGCTGCTCCGCAGAAGGAAGAAGGGGAGATTGACTTCTGTAAAGATTTACTGCCTTGGAAACTCAATGGGAGTTGCTGTGAGTCAGAGTTGACTCAGTGGCAGTGAATTTGGTTTATTTATCTATTGGAGATGACTAAGAGATAAAAACAAAATACCAGATGTTGGTGAGGTGAGGAAATTTGAACCCATATCCATTGCTGGTAGGAATGCAAAATGGAATAGCTGTTGTGGAAAACAGTGTGGTGGTTCTTCAGAAACCTAAAAGTAGAACCACCAAGTGGCTGAGCAGTTCCACTCCTCTGTACGTGGCCCAGATACTCGAAAGCAGAGACTCAGAGACTTATACATCAGTGCTCATTGCAGCACTCAAATGTTGGAAGAAACCTAAACACCCATCAGTTTATGAATGGATAAACAAAACGTGGTCCATACGTACAATGGAGTACTACCCAGCCAGCAGGAGAAATGAAGTCTCGATACACACTTCAGTGTGAGTGGAGCTTGAAGACGTTATGCTGCGCAAAATAAGTCAATCATAAAAGTACAAATATCGTGTGACCTGACTTACATGAATAGACAGGAACAGGTAAATGTATAGAGGCCAAAGTTTAGTGGTTACTAGGGTCAGGAGGGAATGGGGAAGAGAGTGGTCATTGGTGATGGAACAATCACATTGATTAAGGGTAGGGCTGCCCAGCTGATTATAATGCTGTCAGTAGGTTGTACACCTAAAAAGTTGAATTGGCACAAGTTGTGGAACAGATAAATTTACAACAACGACAACAACAACAAAGTAGCTGCTGAGGCTGCTTATGTATAGCCAAACACTTAATGGCATTTGGTTCCTTTACGTGGAGCCACATTGGCACATCCCACTTAATGAGCCTAAGAACATAGTTCGTGCTTCTATTCTACCTCTGTTCCTTGAGTTGTGCTTGGGGTCTTCAAAGTTTTCAAGTGGCCAACCAAGGCACAGCAGTTGGTCTCTATCTACCTGGAGCAATTGAGGATGAAGGAGAGTCAGGAATAGGACGAGGACACAGAATGTGTGGCCAATTGCCTCTTTACAGCTGCCTCCTTTGCCATGAGACCAGAGGAACTGGATAGTGCCCAGCTACCATTACTGAACATTTTGATCCAATATCCCATAGAAGAATCCTGAGTAAACGGAGGAAAATACAGAACAGAATTTCAAACTCCAGGCCTTCACAGTTGAAAGAAGCTGAGAGAGCTGTTTTGCACTGAAGAAGAGTGTCTGCCTACATGCTTCCTGATCCTAAGTTGTACCCTGTTGTTGAGTAAACCACTTAACTTTAGGTATGGTTTGTCAGTTCTGTGTGGACATTGCAAGAGATTATTGAACCCAGAAATGAAGCAGAGAATGCCATGGGGAGGACGGCTGGTATGAGAATTGGTAAAAGCTTGGCAGGGTGGTAAGTCTGACCTGCCTCTCACAGGAATCAGCTTTGGGCTGATCTTAATCGTTGTCCCCCTTGTTTTGGTTACCTAGTGCCGCTCTGACAAAAATATACCACAAATGGGATGGCCTTAACAACAGGAGTTTATTCTCTGACAGTTTGGAGGCTTTCAGTCCAAGTTCATAGTGCCAGGGTCTAGGGGATGGGTGAAAGCCCCTCAACCTTGGGGTTCAGCTCTGCTTCGTGCTCCCAGCCCACAGAAGCTAGAGGCTTTTCTTCACTCACAGAGCTGCTGGCTGCTGAGGCTGCCAAGCCCAAGGTTGACAAGTAAAAAGGCACCATCCCGATATTACCAAATCACCCAGCAGGCCATTAAATCAAGTCCATTGTATGTCCCAAGGTCGGCAGAGCATGGCAGGCTGCTGAACAATGACATGGCTACATGCAGGGTTTAAGGTGCCATAAGCTAGAGACCATTCCCAAGCTGCTTCTTACATACAGGAAGCAGACCACACACCCAAAGCAGCTACTCAGCTGCTTGTGGTAGATCCCACTATGGAGTTGACTGCCAGTTTCATCATGGGGAATAACTACCACCAGCTCCCCAGCCACTCAACCAGCCCTAGCCAAGTTGACACACAAACATAACTACCACACCCCTGAAGTTCAAGTTCAGACACTAATACTATGCCATTTTCACACATACACTGTCACCTACATTTGGCAGCCTACCAGAATGGGTGACTTTTCAGCCCCTTTTTATGAGAAAAGTCAAGAAGAGATTTCCACACACGTCATAGAAGCTGTTATTTCTGGGTAATAAGCACAGTATTATGGGCAGTGTGGATCAGTGTGCGTGTCTGTGGCTTACAGGGTTTCACTAGAAGGAAAAGGCAAACTGTAATAAAAGCTGTTTACAAGGCATCTTATGTGTCCTTGGTAAGTTCCTAGTCTGGCTGACATGTGGAGCAGGTGTTTGGTGTGGCTCACTTGGATTGCAGTACCCAAACCAATGTCATCAAGTTGACTCCAACCCACAGGACCCTATATGACACAGTTAGAACTGTCCATATAGTTTCTAACGTTGTAAATGTTTACAAAAGCAGACTGTATTATTTTCTCCTGTGGAGTAGCTGGTGGGTTAGAATTGCCAACCTTTTGATTAGCATCTGGGTGCTTTAACCAGAGCTTCTTGATTGAAATGAAAAGTTATTTTTGGAAATGGAATATAAATGAATTATTGGGGAAAACGTTGTGTTGTACATACTGTCAGTTACAAGTGTGCCAGTAAGATGCTGTTGGCTGCCATTGAGTCCATTCCGGCTCACAGTGACCCTGTGTGTGCAGAGGATAACTGTTCCGTAGGGTATTCCAGGCTGTGACCTTTCTGAAGCTGATCACCAGGTCTGTTTTGCAAACCACCAATGTTGTGGTAGTAGCCGAGTGCTTTACTGTTGATGCCGTGCAGGGACTCCAGCAATGAGGTGCTGGCTGTCATAAGAGAAGGGAGCGCAGCCCAGCCTGCGTCACTATGGATGCTCTAACGGAAAACTTTCTCTCTTCAGCAGAACCAAAGCCCGAAGCCTGCCCGTGTTCCTCCTGCCTTCTGGCTTTCTCCTGTCAGCAGTTTCTCAGCGAACATGTGCCTCCGATCTTCCCAGGCTCGTGTGCAGAAAACCACTTCCCTCCAGGGGATCCCAGCCCCGGGCAGCAGGAGCAGCAGGACTCTGCTCAGAGCTGCTGCAGTGAACACTCAGAAGGTCCGGAGAGAGAAGACAACTCCAAACCCTTGTGTCGGGGGACAGGGGAGCGAGCGACTGCAAGGGCACTGTCCAGTCCACCCCAGAGACCATCAGCAGGCCCTGGAGAAGGCAGCATGGTGGTAGGAATCGAGGCCAAGTCGGCCCTGCCGGAATCAGAAGCCTCAGGATGTGGTGCCATCAGCTATAGAGAGGATGAGCCAGACTGTGGCCTGAATTCAAACGTTACCACAAACCAGAAGTCCCTCTTCCGGGAGAAGCCCTATGTGTGCAGTGAATGTGGCCGAGGATTTAAGTGGAAATCACGCCTCTTCATCCACCAGAGGACACACTCTGGGGAGAAGCCTTATGTGTGTAAGGAGTGTGGCCAAGCCTTTACCCAGAAATCAGGCCTCCTCATGCACCAGTGGACACACTCTAGGGAGAAGCCTTACGTTTGCAGTGAGTGTTGCCAAAGCTTTGCCCAGAAATCAGTTCTTCTTATCCACCATCGGACACACTCAGGGGAGAAGCCTTATGTGTGCAAGGAGTGTGGGCGAGGCTTTACCCAAAAGTCAGGCCTTCTTAAGCACCAGCGGACACACTCAGGGGAGAAGCCACATGTGTGTGAAGAGTGTGGGCAACGGTTTAGCCACAAGTCACATCTCAAGAAACACCAGAGGACACACTCAGGGGAGAAGCGTCATGTGTGCAGTGAGTGTGGCCGAGGCTTTAAGTGGAAATCTGTTCTCCTTGTGCATCAGAGGACACACTCTGGGGAGAAGGCCTTTGTTTGCCCTGAGTGTGGACGAGGATTTAACTGGAACTCAGGCCTCCTTGTACACCAGAGGACACACTCAGGGGAGAAGCCTTATGTTTGCAGTAAGTGTAGCCGAGGCTTTACCCAGAAATCGTGCCTCCTTAGACACCAGAGGACACACTCAGGCGAGAAGCCATATGTGTGCAAGGAGTGTGGGCAAGGCTTTACCTGGAAATTACGCCTCCTTATACACCACAGGACACACTTGGAAGAAGCCATATGTATGCAGAGTGTGGGCGAGGCTTTAGAAGTCACATCTCATCACACACTGGACAACACACTCAGGTGGGAAACCTTACATGTGCCTAGATTGTGGCCGAAGCTTCACCCATAAATCATGCCTCCTTAGACACCAGCAGACACACTCAAGGGAGAAGCCTTATGTTTCCAGTGAGTGTGGGCAAAGCTTTTTCCTAAAATCAGGCCTCCTTATGCACCAACAGACACACTCAGGGGAGAAGCCACATACACGTATGCAAGAAGTGTGGATAAGGTTTCAGCCAGAAGTCACAGCTCAACACATACCAGAAGACACACTCAGTTGAGAATCTTTGCATGTGCCTAGAGTGTGGGTGAGGCTTTACCCAGAATACACACCTCTTTCTCCAGGGCACACCCTCCGGGGAGAAGGCACATGTGTGCAAGCACTGTGGGCGAGGCTTTAACCATAAACAAAGCCTTGTTAGACATCAGTGCACACTCAGATGTGAAATCTTTGCAGTGAGTATGGCCGGTGCCTTAACTGTAGATGACTCATACACAGGAGGATGCAGAATAGAAGCTCCATGTGAGCCAGGGGAATGGGCAAGACTGGGGGAAAAGCCCCCTTCTCTCTACATCAGCGATAGGTGTTCAGGGTGGGGGGATGCATTATGTGGGCAGGAGTGTAGGAGGTTCTTTAGCCGTCAGTTGTCCTTCCTCTTGTACCAGAAGACATGCTCAGAAAGGAGAGCTGTGTGGGCAGGGTCTGTGGGTGGAACTTTATTCCACTGTCCCTCCTCAGCTGACTAAGTGGACAAGATGTTGCCACCACATGTGCTGGATTCCCCTGCCTCTGAGGGAGTTTCAGAAGTCTGCTGGGCACCTGTGCTCTGTGTGAGGGTGAAGGTGGCAGCAGTCATGGAATAGACACATTTTCCACATTCTGTAACCAGGTGGAAGAGAAAATTAGAAGGTGTTACTTAAGACATCAAAGAATGGTTGACGTGTTTTCTTTCCACATGCCAGTTCTTTCTCATGCTTGCTTGTCCTTTGATTGTAGTGAAATTTTTCTTTAACAAACCATAACTCAGGCTGCGCTGCCATGGGTCCTGAAAGATATATGGAATTCAAATCCATAATCCAGGTTTGTTGAATGAATTTAACCCTTTTAGGAAAAAAAAGTCCTGAATACATGTATTTGCGGGTCAGGTGGAACGATGGATTTGGAGACAGGCCAGGAGGGGAAGGAGTGTCCCACCTCTCCGTGGATGAGATTTCCT